GAGAGATTTTGGTAAAGTGAGAAACAAAACAAACAAACATCAGACTATTCAGTGATGTCGTTGAGAGGAGCCATACTCAAAATTTCAAATACAAAATAAAATAAATTTCTTAATAATAACACCAAAATTCAAATTTTATTTTATTTTGTCTATAGACAGGTTTGTTTTTCCCAATACAATGGTCTTCACTCCTTCACCCGATCTACATTCGAGCTCAAATTAATTTGCTAATTTTTGTTTATATTACCCAATGATAATTTTTAAAATAAATGGAATTTTTTTAACCTTTTCATTAACTATTTTTTTTTTGTTTTTTCTTTGGAATACATAAACACTAATAAATAGTGAATCTAGCAAATGATTTCAGGATGGACCTCGCTAGAAGTCTAATTCGAAAATCTAAAGGGCAAGTCCATTACACAATCTAAAACCCACAACAGAAAACAATAATCTACTAGAGATAGAACCATATCTCCTCGATTATGCCAAATTAATTCCAGGATGGATCTGGCTAGAAGCCCAATAAATGGAGTTCACGTTAATTATTTTTAGAATAGCTATATTATATAATATCGTTGGAGATAAAATAATTAAATTTTATGAAACAGTTTTAGAGAAAACTAGAATACCCTTTAGGAAAAAAAAAAAATACTACAGGTAGCTCTCATATATCATATCAATATACATAATGGAATATTATATTTTGTAAGAGTATTGTATAATATTGAGATGCATGAATGATGAATTCATTTAAAAACAATGTAATTTTCGATTTTGAGTTATATTTTTGCTTAAAACAAAATGATAATCGAGATTAGTAGTGCATCGTTCAATTTCTACGAAAACATGTTAAATTTTAATTATAAAATAGTAAACAATTTTTTTTTTTGTAAAAAAGATATTTATTAGTTAAATAGTCTTAGACTTCCGATGTTATTCTGGATAACTCAAAATTATATACAATAATAATTTGGTTAAAAAGAGATTATTATTTTATTTTTCATCTAAAAATATTATAAATTTTGAGTTTTCAAGATAAAAAGAGGGAAATTGAGTTAAATAACTAAAAAAAAATTATAATCAATACGACAATACCCTAACTAATTAACCTAAATCTAGTTGATATAATTATGCTACATTGGTTAATTTTGATACGTAACTGTCGACATCATAAAATGTCTCGCAAAGCATTGCTGAAACATTTTGGCCAAAATGTACACGATATGTGTTTCAAAGAGGAAGGGGAAATGGGTGCATGCAGTTTTTGTTGGACTGACTGTTTTGTGGATAAAGAAACTATGTTATATGAGAATCTAGTTCTGAATTCGAAAAGAAAGCTAGAGTTGTTAATTGGTTTAAATGACAACTATTCAATTTGCTTTGTTTTCTTAATTCTTTCACATTGATTTTCGGGTTAAGAATCCTTTCTAAGGTTCTTGATTCGTAAGAAGATGGTTAAAAAATTCTAATGGTTGTGTTGAAAAAAATAATGAGGAAAATAGAGTTCTAAGAGTTGTTCGTGACTAGGGAACCCACAATATATGATGGATTTATGTGGGGGTCAACCTAATCAGTATCCTTAGAGTCATTCGACGAATTAATATTTTCTTTGCATCCTTAAGTGTCAAAGGGATCTGTTATTTTGCAGCTCCATTCGATCGGAACCTAATTCAAAGGAAGAAGTACAACTATATCCTCTCCAAATTTCATATGCTCTATAATATGTAGCGAAGCATGAAGTCAGAACACTACGACCAGACGAATCAGATTCTTTTTCTTCGCATTATACAATACTTTTTTGGAATACTCAGAAATAACTACGGTAAACTCTTTTTTCTTCTTTTTTTTTGTGGTGTCAAAACTCTATAGTAAAGACTAGGGTTTGAGATTAATGTATTTTGTTTTTTAAACTTTTGTAATATGCTAGGAAATCTAGAAGGCGCCATGGGTTTGATAAAAGATTTAAAATGTAAAAAATCTTTAATTTGTGGTATTTTTAAAAATTGACAATTTAAAGTGACATTTTTACAAAATTATATTTTTAAAATGACACCAAATAAAATACACTTGTAAAGTTTTAAAATTTATGTTAATTACTTCAACCAATCTTTTTTATTTATGTTAATTACTTTTAGAATAACTATATTATATACTATTCGTTGGAGATAAAATAATAAAAGTTTCCAAAAAAGATCGAAAAAACGTAGCTCTATATAAATGTCATACACAATTTTGTACTTCCTCCGTATAAAAATAGTTGATGTTTAAAGATTTTACACACAAATAAAAAAATATTATTTTTTAAAAATTAAAATACTATTTATCATCTACTTAAATTCATCTCAACCAATTGTAAATCAAATTGAATAATGCAAATAGTCATATCAAATAAAAATGCATTTGATTTTGTACTGAAAACATAAAAAAATCAACTAACTAAAAAAAATTTTTGTATAAAATCAAGGGAAATTGG